GTGGGGAAATCAATGATCGTTGCCTTATCGCCTTTTGCTTCCGATGCGTTTTTGAAGCCTCCAGATGGCCCAAGATGGCCCAAAAGAGGCCCAATAGAGGCCCAAGCAAGGCCCCAGAAGGCCCTTCAGAAGGCACCATGAGCTTCCAAGAGCGGCCCAAGAGCGACCCAAAAGGACCCCTACAGGCGATATTGATGGCCCCAGGGGGGAGGCAGATCGAAGACCCCCCTCCTTTGATCGATTGCCTCACTCACACTCCCCTCCTCCTCCTCCTCCTCATCCTCCTCCTCCTCCTCCTCCTCCTCCTCCTCCTCCTCCTCCTCCTCCTCCTCCTCCTCCTCTTTCTCCTCCTCCTCCTCCTGCGCCTCCTCCTCCTCCTCCTCCTCATACCTCCTCCTCCTCCTCCTCCTCCTCCTCCTCCTCCTGCTTCTCCCCCTCCTCCTCCTGATCCTCCTCCTCATCCTCCTCCTCCTCCTCATCCTCCCCATCTTGCTCGTATTCCTCATCCTCCTCGTCACCCATCAATGTCCATCATCATCATCATCACCATCACCCCCCCATCATTCCCTATCATCAGCATCATCAGCATCAGTAGCATCAGCAGCATCAGCATCAGCATCAGCATCAGCATCAGCATCAGCATCAGCATCAGCATCATCATCATCATCATCATCATCATCACCATCATCAGCAGCAGCAGCATCGGCATCACCATCATATCATCATCATCATCATCATCATCATCATCATCATCATCATCATCATCATCTCATCATCATCATCATTCATCATCATCGTCATCATCAGCATCATCATCATCACCATCATCATCATCATCATCATCATCATCATCATAATCAGCATCATCAGCAGCAGCAGCAGTAGCAGCATCAGCATGAGCACCAGCATCAGCATCCTCCTCCTCATCCTTTCTCACCTCATCATCAGCAGCAGCAACCACATTATCATCATCATACAGCACAGCAGCATCACAGCATCAGCATCAGCATCAGCATCATCATCATCATCATCATCATCATCATCATCATCATCATCATCAGCATCATCATCATCATCATCATCATCATCATCATCATCATCATCATCATCATCATCATCGGCATCACCATCAAATCATCATCATCATCAGCAGCGGCAGCAGCATCAGCATCAGCATCCTCCTCCTCATCAGCATCATCAGCAACTTCATCATCAAAATCATCATCAGCAGCATCATCATCGTCATCGTCATTATCATCGTCATCGTCATCGTCATCGTCGTCGTCATTAGCACCGCAATCACCATTGACATCACTACCACCACCACCACTATCACCATCAGATCATCGGCATTATCATCATCATCAGCATCATCATCGTCGTCATCATTCGTCGTCAATGTCATTGTCGATGATGTCATCGTTGTCATCGTCGCAAGCATCATCATCATAATCAGCATCAGCATCATCATCGTCATCGTCAGCATGATCATCAACGTCGTCAGCATCAGCATCACTATCATCATCCTCATCATCAGCCTCGTCATCGTCATCACAACATGATCATCATCGTCATCATCAGTGTCAGCATCAGCATCATCATCATGATGATGATCATCATCGTCGTCATGAGCATCATCAGCACTATCATCAGCAGCGGCGTCATCAACATCCCATAATCTGCATGATCATCCGAATCTTCTGCATCATCATATCCTTCATGCGCTTCCTCTAGAGCCCACATCAGATGGAATACATCATAGCTCTTCTAGAATCACCTAAATACTCCTTCCACTCATTCCGCTACCCCGTCTCCTCCCCCCCTTCTCTCCTCACACTCCTTCGTCTTACGTCCTTCCCCTAATACGCTCTAACCACCTTGTAAAACTTAACGGGGCCTCACAACATCACCCAGATTCATCTAGATCTCATTCGTAAGTCATCATCCTCCTGCTCCTCATCCACCCTCTTCCCACCCTTTCCCCTCGTACCCAGCCCACCTCCATGCTACTCCATCCTGCGTCCACCTCCGTCCCCCCTACCCCCTACCCCCTCCGTCATGCCTCCTCCTCATCATCATCATCAGCAGCATCCGTCCTCCCAACGACGACGACGCCAGACGACGAACGACCACTGACCGACGACCGACAACCGACAACCGACAACCACGACGATGGCGACGACGACGACGACGACGACGACGACGACGACCGACGACGGACGACAGACGACCGACGACGACCGACGACGGACGACCGACGACCGATGACGGCGACAATGCCGGCGACGGACGATGACCGGCGACGACGACGACGACGACGACGACGACGACGACGACAGCGACGACAGCGACGCCCGACGCTTGACGCCCGCAGCCCGAAGCGCCCGAGAGGCCCGCCGAGGCGCCTGTGGAAGTCGGCCCGCTGCTGCTCCGATTCGGGGCACCCCGAGTGATCCCCGTGGCTCTCGTGGATGGCACGGCGCATGGCGCAGCTCTCCTGGGGGCCGAGGAGCGATGGCGGCGCCGACGGCAACGGCGACGCCGACGCCGACGACGACGCCGCCGCCGACGACGACGACGACGGCGCCGCACCCGACGACGACGACGACGACGACGACGACGACGACGACGACGGCGGCGGCGGTCCGCTGCGGTCGGCCGGCGTCGTGCCGCGACGGCTGTCGTCGCTATCGTCGTCGTCGTCAGGGGTGTCGGGGACGGGGTCGGACGAGTCGGGGTCGATGGAGAAGGGGCAGGGCACGCTCCTCCAGGGCACGAGTCAAAATTCCGACGGATGCAAACTTGAAAGTATTGCTCAAGCTCCTCGAGCGCGCTACCCAAAGCGGTGCTACGCACTGGGGGGGGCCCGAGCGTCCCTTTGGAGTCCAGAACGGAGAGAATCCCTGGATCCAGGAGAAGGGGAGAAGGGAGGACGTTGAGTGATCAGCACACATCCTGAAAGACGGGGGGCAAATTAAGGGTTCATCGACCCGACCCAACCGAAAAAAAAACCGAGAGCTGCGTCTGCCGACGAGACTCTGGTTTTCCGCGCAGCCTCCCGTATGGACTCCCGCATGTGTGGGCGCGCAAGCATGGATTAGCGATCCATGGATTTGGCGCGCGGTCGCCAAACCCATGGATCGGGGGGGGGGGCCCTCCCCAAGATGCGGCCGGTGCCGCCTCGCTCGGCAGCAGAAATCCGCGGCTCCCCATGGAAACGGGACCCGTCGCTAATCCACGCCCCCTCTGATCCATGTTTGCGATCGCCTGAAGATGGGCTCCCGTACGGCAGGTTCGTGTCGTGCCGACCCCAGCGTTGGTTTTTGACACCGCGCTGGATCGTTCAACCTTGAACGATCGGCCGCTGCCGCAACGTCCGATCGTTCAACATCGATCGACTCTGGGCCGCCGCCGGCGTTCAACCTTGAACGCCCGCGCTGGGGTCGCCGCTGGTCGACACGACGCAAACCTACCGTAATTATGGGGCTCCCGTAAGGTCTCCCGCACGGTCCCCCGCACGGTCTCCGGCACGGTGTCTGGCGCACGCGGTCTCCCACCCATGGTCTCCCGCACGGTCTGGTCTCCCGCCGCGTCTCCCGTGTGGGCTCGGGTGCGATCTCCCGCACGCTCTCCCGTGTGCGTTCGGTGCTCCAGATTTCGTAATAAAGGGAGGGGGGTCTCATTTCGGGGGGGGTCTCTTCCAGGCTATCTTGGAGGGCCTGAGGGGGTCTGGGGACGATGTTTTGGAGGGTTCTCCCACGGGGGGGGTCTGAAATGGCTTGTCTTGGAGAGTCCAGACCCCCTCCCTTTTATTACGAGATCTGGAGTAGCGTGCTACGCTGTACTCCCACCAGCCCTCTGGGCGGAGGTGGTCTAGACTCGGGTGCTACGTGTGTGCTGGGAGGGCGGGTGGGAGTGAGCGAGACGGCTTGCGGGCGGGGAGGGAGTCTTGACCCCTCCCCCTACCCCCCACCCCTGGGTCTGGAGTGGGGGGGGGGCCGCGGGTGGTTGGAGCGTCTGCTTTGGGCTAAGATGGCGCCAAGACAGCCCAAGAGAGCTCAAGATGACCTCCAAGATCGCTAAGCGTGAACAATCATGTACGATTTAGCTGGGCTGCTTGGGGACTTCTACCGCCAGGGTGCAGTCTAACCTCTGCCGTTGACCCATAGCCAAATTCCACGATCTCCACGACGACGACGACGACGACGACGACGACGACGACGACGACGACGACAAACGACGATCTGGTCGGACATCGGCGACGACGACGACGACGACGACGACGACGACGAAGACGATCTGGTCGGACATCGGCGACGACGACGACGACGACGACGACGACGACGACGACGACGACGACGACGACGACGGGAGAGGAAGGCGCCCATCGGCAGGACAGAGGCCACCCGCACGCACCAGGTTTCAAGGCCCCCACCCTTCCGAGCCCACCCTGGCGGCGCGCCGAGGGGGGCAGGGTTGAGGAGGGGAGGCTTCTTAGAAGGGGGGGTGCTTCTTCGAACGGGCCGACCTTCCATGTGTACAGAAGGCCCGCGCCTTCTAAAAGGCAGGGGTGCTTCTAGGAAGCCTTCCCCCCCTCTGCGCGTGGCCGACCTGGGTGATCCAAAACGGTCCAGCTGAAGGGGGGTGGTGCAGTAGATTCGGGTCAATTGTATTGCAAACGCATTGAGCCCGAGAATTGTATTGCATTGTAGTGCGAGTAACGCATTGCACGCGAAAATACAGCGATACCTTTGCGCCCCGAAATGCATTACACGCCCCAAATATATATATTGCAACCCCACAAACCTATTGCACCAAATCTACTGCACCTCCCCCTTGTCGCTGGACCCCCTTTTCGGGTCAACCCGAACCTTCCGTCCGCCCCGAATGATCCTTGGCCTTCGGGCCACAACTCGGGCCTCCGGCGGCCCGTCGGGCCAGTCCGGGCATCCCCAGAACGCCGTCGGCGAGGGGCAGCTGCGGGAGAAAATCCCGCGAGG